TTGTTGTTGTTGTTGTTGTTGTTGTTGTTGTTGTTGTTGTTGTTGTTGTTGTTACTGCTGCTGCTGTTATTGCTGCTGTTTAAAAGTGGACATTTATTTTTTACAAATACCACACAACTTCATGTTTGCCTTATTACTCATTCTACATGGATTTATCAAAGACCATACAATTCAATTTGTACAAGATATATGAAATACGTTGCGCCTTTCACAACCCTCAAATCCATTCAAAGTTAAAAGATTAAGGACCAGGGTTTTAGGTATAGTCTAAAATTTATCATAACACACGTGCCACTAAAACTGAATTAGGATCACCGTGGTTCTGAACTCTGCCAGACAAATTATTTCTAATAGGTCCATTCTTATCGATAATCGTTCGTTTGTTTGAACAGACAGTTAGGCATATTTTGATAAAGGTTGGATCCACAGAATTTGACAGGTACGTTCTGAGATTTATCATTCCGCATTGACTACTGAAACTGAATTAGGATTACTGTGCTTCAGAACTCTGTTAGACGAATCTATAACGTTTCTGATAATGTCACTTTTTATCGATGTCATCGTTTGTTTGTGTGAATAGATACGTAGGCTTACGTTGATAAAGGTTTGACCCGGGGATTTTGGCTTTCAGAATAGTCAATAGGTATTACTGCACGATTAGTATTCTGTTGTCCTTTCAAAGGGCCTTCAAAATTCTCCTCAGCCCGTGACAAAACCTTTGCGGCTTACAGCCATGCAAAATAATGTCACATAGTGAAAGAAGGATTAATAAAATAAAAAGTCGACTAAATAGTATTACCAAGACGCTTTTGTAAAGCAATGCCATTTGGGTGTCTTTGGTAGAATACTTTAGGGAATTCGACACAGCTTCTAAAGACGTGTCAGTCGTGTACATCTGTAAACGCAATAGGGTTTTATTTTGCCGATACCTTTTCTATGATTCAGCCTTAGCCAAAAGGGACCACTTTGCTGAAAATTTGACCTAATTTTCATGCATATGAGAGGGAAAAATTGTTTTCAGAGAAAGTTTTACGGCATTTGTAATACAGTTAGGTCATGTACGGAAAGAAGAAGCAAACAATACCAGAGAACCCGCAAACCTCCCACGGGGAAATTTTTCTGCTTAATGGCTGCACAGAATTGCCTTTAAAAAAAAAAATCAACAACACATTAAGACCTTATACCCTTCGTCAAGGCAAGGTCGGGTTAGCGTGTATTGCTAAAAAAAAAGCATGACACTGGTCACTCAACTGATTGTCGTCCTCACAGATTTGGTTTGGTATTTTTAAAATTTTATCAAGAGTTTTACGGCACCTGCAACACAATTATGTCATGTAGCTGCCAAAGATTAGTAGTGTTACAAGAGACTGAAGAATATATAAAAAAAAGATTGAGAGATAACCACAGTACAAGGGTGTTTGATAGGAAAGGATAAGCAAACCACACCCGAGCACCCACCAGTCATCCACACGAAAAGTGTTCTGCTAAACGACAGTACAGAACAACAACATTTAAAAAAAAGTTCAATTAATAGCACATAAGATATTATACCCTTGGTTAAGGAAAGGTAAAGTTACCGTGCATTGCACAAAAGCATAACACAGTGGTCACTCAATAGAAAGCCGTCCTCAGCAGTTTTGTTTGGCGTTCTTTTACTTTTGGTAAGAGCTTTACAGCACTTGCAGCACAATAAGGCCATATAAGTGCCGAAGATTAGAGATTTTACAAGTGAATAACAAAGAAATACCAAGAGGGAGGAGATATATTTTTGTTTTAATAGAGGTTTTACGTCGCTCGCTCGCAACTGCATAAGGTCATATTATGAGCGCGAAGAGGAGAGATAAAGACGATAGATGTTTGATTGGAAGGAAGGAGCAGACCACACAAGAGCACCCGCCAAGGACTCTCATGGAATTCTTTGTGGACGTTTGTTCCCATCCTCTACAAGGTTTTGAAAGACAAGACTATACTTACTTACTTACTACCCATTACGCCATCTGGTGTTTAGGGCAGAATCAAAGGATCTCCAGCTCCGTCCGTTTTGGGCCATCTACTATATAGTAGGACTTAAAAGTTGTGTGTCGAAAGACAACAATACACATGACATGATACTAATTGATATAGTTAATATAGGAGAAAGGAAAGATGGAGGGGTGGAATATTTGAGATTTAGGAAAAATGGCAGTATTTATGAAGAAAAGGATTAAGACTTAACTTCAAAAGTACTGCTGGGCGTTGCTTCTCGGACCATTCTGCGTCAAATCACTCCGTCTCTTGCCATTCTGCCTAACTGAGCTGTTCTATTTCCAAGCCAGGTTTTATCGTCTGGCAGACAGTCATACAGTGACACGGATAAAAAACAAAAACAAACAAAAAAACAAAAACAAAAACAAAGCAAAAAAAAAAAAAAAAAAAAAAAAACAACAAGAAACCTAGCGATCAGACAAACAGACAGTCTAACGACGGTGGTGGGCGAGTGCTGAGGTGTGGTTTGCTCCTTCTTTCCTGTAAAACCTCTATCGTCCTTATCTTTCCTCCCTTTTTAAAAAAAACCTGTTTTTGTTACTCTTTTGTAGCACCTCTTATCGTCGACATTTATACGACCTTATTATGTTGTAAGTGCCGTAAAACTCTAACAAAGTTAATCTAAAGACAAACTGACTGATAGATAGACAGATGAATGGATAGACAGACTGACAAGAAAACTTAAAAACATAGCGAAGATTGGAGGTTGGGGCCGGGGGGGACTGACGAAATCTTCAAGACTGTAGAACTGGTTCACATTTTTCCACGTCAATTTGCAACCTTCACGCGTGCAAAGCGTGCCGTCTGATGTTATTCTTGAACTGTTATTGTACAGATCGTATTGCCCTGACCACACCTTCTCTTGGCTGTTGTTTTTATTGTATACTCACTAGATCACTAGAGTATATTATTATAATATGTGAAGCATCGTGGTGGAACCAGGCACACGTTAAAATAATGAAATCGCAGAAAACGGCTTTTACCTACCTGTTAGGCAATTCTTATCGATTTTATTTTGGCACAACACGTTATACGACAATTCAAAAACACATTTCTGTGTGGATCTTACAGGAAAACGTTGATTAAAGGCTCACAAATGAACAATTTCTGTTTCTTTGTACTTTCAATACACGGAGGTTACCAAACTTTGACGGCTATTTTCTTAATTATTACCTCCGAAACAGCGACCCACCCACCTCCTTCAATACCAAATATCTCGAATTCTGCTCAATATACATGGGTATTTTTTTTTTCGCCGGAAGCAAGACAATTGGACAAGGTTTAAGTTGATACCAATAACTCCACTTGCCCAAAACCTGACGAGCGCCTGATTCCATTGCGTCGTGACATATATTATTTTTACGGTGGCGTCCTCTTCGGCCCACTCAAGGCTCCTCACTCGGGGGTAGTCACTTCATTGAAAGCTAACATCACAATAGATCTATAAACCCGTTTTTATGTCACAGGATTCGAATCTGAACAAAAGATGTCTTCCCATTAATTGGTTTGCACCGTGACAAAGCTTAATTTATTCATATTCTTAAAGTAAGATTACAAACGCAATTCAGTATAATAAGTCAAATGCATGAATGATAAGGGTTTATTGCAATGAACGACAGCGTTTTTATGGATTTATTACAATGAATGACAGTATTTGCATGTCATACATTTTATTTGTGTTTGATAAATAGAATACATTATCACGATAACTCTGAATCTTGATGAAGGACGGAATGTAGTATGTATGCAAAGAGACAAAGACCACAAAGCTCAAACAAGCGAACCTCAGTTCGAAAGCTCTCATCAAAATTCCTTAAATATATTATGCTAAGTAGTTATTCATGAGGTTTTCATACAAGCTCAGTGAGTTTTAAAACACATCAATTTGTTTGTTAGGCGCATATCTCATACATTGCAGTATATTACAAGATACTATCACACAGAAGAAATATTCGAACGCTCTACATGTTACATTGCAAGTATCAAAAAGCGGTTGTTATGGGCCTCTCCACTGGTGTTAGACTTTAACATCCGTCAGATCACGAAGTATTGAGCAAGCATTACAAATTATATAATGCGTAAGTAGATGGACATTCCGAAACAAAACAAGAATCTACAATTTTCAAACTTAATGTTACACAGTAACATGTTCTGTGAATATCAAACCATTCCATACTTCACTGACGTCAGTGGAGAAGTTTCGCTGTCGCACACAGGAAACCCAAGTTCCATTCCCTTAGTCAGCGAATTTTTATCGAGTATCTCGGTCTTTCTCCTGAGATGTTGTATCCCCTGAGCCCGGATTGGCCTGCTTCCTAAACGATCTTAATCTAAATTGTGTCGATAAGAGCGTAAACACATCTTCATTAAACAAAGAATAGATTTCTATTTCAAACTTTATCTGGCGCGCCTCATTCACATCACCACCTTTCTTTCCTCCGGCTGCATGCCCAACATTCATTATTTACATCGAAGTTAATCATGGGAATGCCCACACTCGTCACCCTGGAGGAGGTTCTGGGGGTCTTTTCAATAATTCACGATAAAGATCGGTTGTATATGACGTCATAGTGGCTATTTATATTATCTTTTGGCACGGGATGCTCGGACTTGAGCCTGATCAGTTGTTTCAGGCGACAGTGGCTGGCAAGTCTTGCCACAAACGACTTAAGCTAGGGTAAACATTGGCCTAAAAGAACGGCTGTTTCAAGCTGCGATGATTGGCAAGTTTTGCCACAAAGGACTCAAGGCTAAGTTAAACACTGGCCTAAAAGAAAAGCAGTGTCAGATGAAGAACGTCCCTCAAAAGATCTTACACCATAACATGCTTGAACCGACGGCTCAACAAATGTGTTTGTGTGCGTGTTTTTGTTTTGTTAGCATGTTGTGGGAGTGGTCAGGTCAAACAATATTTTTTTTTATGACAGAGGAAGACTAAAATAGACCTTTTTAAAAACTCAACAAATATGCGCTTTTTACAGGTAAAAAAAAATCAACGAAAAAATAGAGAGAGAAGACCCTGATCTACAGAACTCAAAACCTCCATCTTTGTTCGAGATTCTACCACAAAAATAATACAATTTGCAAAGACTGTGGTCACCTCAAATTACGACGTAAGCTTCTCGACTAGTCTCTTGGAAAAATGAAGGCAATTCTATCAACAAAAAATTCTATCGAAAACAAAATACAACTGAAATAGACTGCAGGCTGAGAATGCGACAAGCATGATATAAAACAAATCGCGCACTCGATTTTCTCTTCCCTCGACCTTACATAAGACATCATAGAATTTATTTACAAAACTCAAAAGCGTTGAATCTCGATATTGAAAACCACGCACTTCTTTGTTTTTCCCTTATCATTCAATGTTACCAAAGCATGCATCTTAGAGCAAGCTCATCTCATAAGGCCCCTCATTTAAAGAAACCATTCAGCGAAAAGAACCACGACCAAATTAGGAATAATATTAATGAGTTAGTCAATCATGGATAAACAAAACAAACACTCTTTACATGTGTAACCGAATGTAGAAGTAAATGTACTGTGGCGATCTTTAGTATCTGTCACCAATCTGGCACTGGAAGTGCTGCGATAGTGTCTCCTAAGTCTTCACGGTTGATCAGGTTTTTGGACTTACATATTTGTTTTTGTTCCTCGGTATCTCCCACTTTTTGCTTTCCGTTTTTTTCTTACTTATCCCCGGCTATCTTTTTCTTTCATGATAGTGTTGATGTTCAGCCGGGTCAGTCTTTCATTTTTTGCCTTTGAGGTACTGGTCATACACGTAATGAAGTTCGTCCGAGTGTAGTGCCGCGTTGGAACCCCGACGTTGTGTGTTAGGAGATTTTTTTCCTGGCGAAGTGGGGGAAGGAGACGAGGCCATGTTCATATCCACTGACCCACGCCGCGAGCTTCTCGGCGATCTGTTTCCGGGACTGTAGTTCCCCGCGGGGAGAGAGCCTCGGCGTCTTGCCGCCATGGACGCGTCGCTGAGTGAACGTGGCCTAAACTCATCCTCGCCCGGCACTAGGAGATTCACGCCTGTTGTAGCAATAGACATACGTCGTTGGGGGGAGCTGGGCGGACCTATGTTGGTGGCTGTTGGAGCGAGCTCATTCAAATGTCCGTTGGACAGTTTGTGGTGGTCGTGGTGGCAGTGGAATGATGTGCTCACCTGCCCGTTTTCTACTTTGTAGCAGTGGTGAAGGCCGTGGACGATCTTCCCCTCTTCAGCAGTGTCTCGCGCACAGGAAGAGCGACGACTCCGGTTGTCTGCCTCGTCTGGGTCTGAGACTTCTACGATGGGAGGCATGTGAAAGTCAGCCATTGCCCTAGAGAAGGCATTTGAGCCCTCGGGCATAGGTTTCGGAATATCATGCATCTCCATATTGAAAATCAGGTTGTACTGCAATGGCCGTAAGTTTAGTTTGTTACGAAAGTTTGTCCGTTTAAAAAAAAAAAAAGAAATATTATCACAGATGGTTGTTGGCGCCGTCGGTAGGCTCTACGTTCCGCCTGCACACTTTTGTTATCGTTTGTTTGTTTTGGAGATTTTTCCCCTCCTCAGAATGATGAATTCAAAACCGATATTGATTCGGTTTCTCTTTCCCCCGAACAAATACACTGTGGCGATGGGTGATTAATACTTGCAGCACCGTAATTCCTGTTACGAGGAACGCGTTTCTTTTTGTCAGTAACGTGTCAGTTTACTGTAACTGCCGAAATAAAAACAACGACCGTTTGTGTTGCACGCACCACGAATCCCAATTAATGAGTGAAATAGATGGAGAGGGATGAATTGATCAATCTATATCAGTGTTGTTAATGACTCCTGCAGAGAAAAACAGCTCATTATGTCGAAGCGAGGCCGCGGCAGGAGAAAGGAGGAAAGTCCTTCACGTCTTGACAGGGCCAATATCCGGGTCTGCTCTACTTGTCCTTGCCACTGGCGTGATCGCCGATACCCGGGGTGCGTTGGGGAAAAGATAGCCTGTCGTCTCTCTCTCTCTCTCTCTCTCTCTCTCTCTCTCTCTCTCTCTCTCTCTCTCTCGCTC